GGGGAAGGGAGGGAAATGCACGGGACTATGGTGGTGGCACAGGGGTGATTTGGTGATGGGAAACCCGTGGGATTACAATTGAGATGAAAAAAAAAATGTGCAAAATGATGTAAAAATAAACTTTTTAATAAAAAAAATAAAAAAAAACAAAAAGACACCTTACTGAATGGGAGAAAACACTTGCACATATATATCCAACAAAGAGTTAATATCCAAGATCTACAAAATACTCATACAACTCAATAAAAAGAAAACAAAGAAACCAATATAAAAAATGGGAAGAAGAGCTAAATAGGCACTTCTCCAAGGAAGGCATACAGATGGCCAACAGGAATACAAAAAGAAATGTTTGACATCAAACATCATTAGGGAAATGCAAGTGACAAGCCACGATGAGATACCTTCTCACTCCCATGAAAACTGCCCATATGAAAAAAAAACCCAGAAACAACAAATGCAGGGGACGGTATGGTGCAAAGGAACTTTGGTACACTACTGGTAGGAATGTAAGTTGGTCCAGCCACTGTGGAAAATTGTATGGAGATTTCTCAAACTACTAAAAATAGATGCACCATATGACCCAACCACAAAGAAGTTTCTCTGTTAGGAAGCAAGAATTGTGCAATGCAAATATACTTACATAACATCCAAAATTTCTAATGCCTCCCTCCAAATTTATGTGGAGGTACATTCTAATTATAGATATTCACTTCTCTTCAATTGTTTACTGAGTTTTATGAATAATCAAAGCTTTGTACTATTATCAGAAATCACAGAGGACCGAATGTTAAAAGGTGTGCTATTGCAACAAGCAATAAGTGTCTCCTAAGTGTCTCATTTGAAAATCAGTACATGCTATTGATGGGGTCTTGAGTCTTTTTGATTGAACAAATTAAGAGCCCAATTTAGGGTCTCTCGAAAATTACTAATACAAAACATTATCTAGATGTTTTTATCGGCCTATAAAATACAAGATATACATGAGAGAACATTACTATTCTCAAAGAACACAATTACTTAGAATAAGCTAAAAGTTAGAGATGAAAAGAAAAAAAAAGAGCACTGCAAATAACTACTAGTTAAAAATAAATTTGAAAAAGTGTGGTATGATACCTCAGTCCAAGCATGAATGATGAGATGTGTACTGTATTTTCCCATAAACTTCAAGGCATGTCATGCTAAGGGCAGTTACTCAGGGAAGAGGAAAATGCTTAGTTCAAGTGTTTGTATTAGATCCTCGTTTTTCTCTGCTAGTTTTCCAAGAGCTTGACACTTATCTAAAAAGTGTGATTATCCAAAAATTTGAAAATACAGTATCAGGAGCTCTAAGCAGATTTATGAGATTCTCCGAAAGAGAGAACAATGATACAGTGGAAAGGAGGACTTATAGGCAATTTCCATTTAAATTAAAGCCAAATCTCAAATATTCTAATCGAGATTCATATACATTTTTTAACTTAGTAGATGTAAATTATTTACATTATCACATCAATTTGTCCATATAGTCTAATTTTAACAAACAAAATTTCTCCCACAGGAACTATTTCAATGTCATAGAGTAATTTTAATAAAACTAAAATTTCACTCTTATGAACATTAATTAGATTAAGAATCCTGTGTAGATTCGAGAGTAAATGGCCAACCCTATTTTCAGTTATTACTTTAGAATGAAGATTTGAAAGAAAAAAATTATATACTCGACTTCAATACAATTAACAAAGTAAGATGTTTTTAAAATTTCACGAAAAAACTTATTATTTTAAATGTATGAGCAATCTTTCACATGAGGGTTTTTAAAGTCTTTTTTTTTTTTAGAAAAATTCCCAAACAAGATGAGGTATTCCCTCCATGATGTCACTGCTAAAACCTAAGCATGGGAAAGTTTCGTAGAGGACTTTCAAGGACAATCCCTACCAATCTTGCAGGAGTTCCTGCTACAGCGTATATAATGAGTAGATTTCCAGAGTCTGTCTGAAGACACTGGGGTTGGGTGGAGACATTTACCAACCAGAGTCAAGCCTATTCTGCTGCAGAGAAGATCTCATTGTGATAAAAGTCCCTCCCAATGATGAACAGAAATATATGTATTTTATTGTCTCAACCCAATGGATATAATTCTGGCATCCATAAACACCTCAAATTCCAATTGTCCTTTGCCCTTGGGAAGTAGCAAATCCCACCATTGTGAGCTATGGGAGGGGTTGAGGGAGGGATAAAAGTGTCACAGAGCAATAGAAAAGGAAATGAAAGACCAAAACAGTTGGTTCACATAGACATTCTATGTCAGGCTCAGTGGCAAACATATAATTCAAGACTAGAAAAGGTGTATGTGTGCATGTATATGTATTGGTAATACATAAGGATATGTATATGCATGTGCATATATATAAAATGTATGTATGTGACTGTGTACTTACATGATGTATTATATATGTATGTGCATCATTTGTGCATATTGATGTGTGTATAAAATGCCAGGATAAAATTTCTCTGTCTTCCTGTATCTATAAGCTTCAAAAATTGCAAAAAGTAGCAACTTATCAAAAAGGGAGTATGGGCAGCCCTGAGGTGAACACAGCCTCATTGGCAGGGAGCTCAATTAAAAGAACTAAAACATGATCACTAGATTGTAAGACAAGAGAGAGTAAACACATAGAAAAATAGAACCAAGAGAATAAAAGGGTTGGAGTAAATTGTCAGGACAACTGGTTAACAGAATACAATCTAGAATTAATCACAATGTTGCTAAACTTTATTCACCAAAAAGAATAAAACTATATTCCTATCTAAAAAGGCAAAATGACAAGCCTATATAGTTTGCTACAAAAATAGAGACAAATAACTGAATGATATAATTAGTCTTTTTCTAATAAATTCATAAGCCCATTCCAAATTGTACAGCCTGGTAAGTTTCAAAAATTATTAATTTTGACCCATGAACCAAACCTGGTACAAAACCTATTTCTGTAAATAAATGAATGGCTATGTATGGTCTTTTGTTTGTTGTCTGCGGCTATTTTCATGCTTTCATACCAGAGTTGAGAAATTGTGACAGAGTATTTTGGCCCACATATTCTAAAATATTTACTGAATGTTCCTTAATGCATTTCAGAAAAGCCTGCAGATCCCTGCACTACATAATTACAACTCTGAGCCATGGAAGTCACTCTGTTAGATCGTGAGTCTTGAGAAAGACTTCACTTGCTGTATCATGCAGGTTCTTTGGTACAAACCAACCACACAAAAAAGAGAAGTGCTGAAAAATGTTCCAAATGTTGCGAAGGGATTTTATATTTTGGAGAAATAGTCAACTCTTATTCATGTTGGCTTTATTCGTTACTCCTACCTGCTGGTCCTCCCTTTCATCCGCAGTGGTGCCCAACTGCACGTCCTGGCTGAGCTGGTGACCTTTCAACTTTTCTTGAGCGTGCCAGGTGCTTTTTGGGTCTGCCATGCCTTCCTCATCACTTTCTGGATTATTTTTCCATTCTTTCATCATTTCTAGCACATTAGTTCTTGCTGAAGAAAGTGTATTTCCCTGATATTAACAAGGAATGTTTGGTGTTATGAACAGTTTGGAAAATTGGAAAGACTCATATCTTTTAGTAATATATTCCTCTAGATTCAGTAAGTCACATGAAAAATTATATTAGACAAATAGCAAAGCTTCTGCTCCATTGTGGAGTTCATTCCTGGTAGGGATATGATCCACAATTCTTGACTCATGGCATTTATAAGTCAAAGGCTAGGGGGAAATATAACGTTTGAAAAATACTTTGGTATGCTTGTGCAAAGGCACTTGACAGAGCATTTCCCTGGAATCCAAAGATGTGCTCCCCCACTTATAGAGTTGTACTTAGAAAACGAGTAGGGAAGCTGAAAGATGAAAGAAGTTGCGCAAAATGGATCCAACATTAAAGGCAAGCCCATATAACATTAAAATATCTAGGTTTAAAAAAAAACTAAATTTAGCTGATTTGTTAAATGTTGTGACTAAAAATACACGTTTAACATCCCTTGCTGAGTAGAAGATTTAGATATAATGTGGCCACTTGATTATAAGAGATTCATTTATAGTCCATTGTGAAATTCAGATATACTAGAAATTACAAAAAAAAAAATTGACCATTTTAAATTAGCTACATTTTCCTCCCCAAAAAGCAATATTCCATTTAACATGCCAGCAAGTATATGAATGCACCTCCAAGTGGTTCCTTTTAGACTGCGTAGAACTTAGATATTTTGTTCCCATTCAGACAGTAGAGTTAGGCTGAGAAAAATCACATTTAGATAAAAATGGCAAGCTCAGATATGGACACAGATATGGAGAGAATTTAATTTGGTATGTGGATGAACTGAAGCATTAAGCATCAGTGTCATAGAATGCTATGAAGCATGGTACTTCAAGCAACCACCTAAATTCACCATTGAGAATTTACAGAGTTTAATATATTCATGGTTAAAGACACAGACACACATAAGTATAAAGTGGTAAAAATTAAGCAAAGGTCATTGTGCAGTTAACACTCTTTGATTCTTCTATCTCATTCTTTATCAAGAGAAGATCTTATACTGCAGCCCAGCAAGATAGTGGTGAAGACACCCAGCTTGCCTCTCCCACAATGCACAACAAAGCTGCTACAAAACAAAGTCAGTAACCCTTGAGGGAAAAACTGATTGTAAGTGTACACAAAAGGAGCATCAGCCCCCCTGGAAAAGGGTTGGAAGTGAAGTCTGAAGTCTTACCAAGGAGGGACAGCACATCAGCAAGGAGAGCTGGGGTGCAGAGCCTCCCCAGCTGTTCACTGGCACACATACCAATACCTGGGCTCCTGAACCCCAGAACTGCAACCGCTAGGGGAATGCACAGACTGCGGCACTCAAAACACCTGCCTCCCCTATGTCAGGCTGAGCTGTCTAAAGCACCTGTCATCCTACAAACACTTTACAAGAGGAATTCCAAATCCCTGAGTCTGTTGGAGGTGATTGATGCTTCTTGCCCTAGTCGTCTTCTACATCTACCAGCCCCCGCCAGTATCTGCTCCCCAACTCCTTCAACAAGCATAAAAACAACAGTGGAGAATGTATCCTTACCAAAACCCATACAAAATCAAAAATGAAGAGGCACAAGAACACAGTAGAAATGCCAGGACAGCAACAAACCTGAAAGGGGTCCGACTCAGTGGAGGGGAAAGGCAGGGTGACAGTCTGGCCACCCTGATGGCATTTAAAAAAAATGGATATTAAAACGACAATATAAAAATAACTAAAATAGGAGGTAGCTACCTTCAGAAATAGTGATGCCACAAAAAACTTGATGTTAAAGAATTTCCAGAGGTATTTCGCAATAAAATGTTTTAAGTTATTAGAACGTACCACAGTTTAATCATGCTCCAGCCAAAGTGCACTTGGTTTTATTCTTAGTTTCTTCTTCTTTCCAGTTAAATAATAATCATTGACTATATAATAAGTGCTCATGTAGCACGGACAAGTCCTTAGAAACTCCGACTTTAAGGAAAGTATGCATAATGAAACCAGGTCCTCGAATCATTTCCTTTTCATTCAACATCAGCAGGGATTCTTTTTCTCCCCTCAAAAACGTTATGCCAAGGAAGACTGAATGAAATGGCATTATTCAAAGGCCTGCTGTACACACCACATTTTCTTTATTCAGCCATCAACTGACCGACACTTAGGTTGCTTCCATGCCGCGGTATTGTAAACAATGCTGCAGTGAGCATAGGGTCACATATCTCTATCTGAGTTATCTTTATCCCTTCTTTGGATGTTTCTTGGATATATTCTTCTCTGGGTCAATACTCAGAAGAGGAATTCCTGGACCCACCATACTGTTTTCCACACTGGCTGCACCTTGTAGGCGGCACATAGAAGGCTCAGGTTTTAATCCACGTACTCACTATATCTTTGGATTATGGAATACAGTCCAGTCACATTAAAGTTTATTGATCGATAGATACTTATTGGCATTTTGTTCAATGACTTCTGGCAGTTTTGTAGTTTTTCTGTTCTGTTCTTTTCTTATTCTCTTTTTATGTAATTTGATAATATTCTCTAGTGTAGACTTAGATTCCTTTCCCCCTATCTTTTGCTTTACGGTTACCATAAGTCTCACATATAAAAACTTATATTTATAACAGCTTATTTTAAGGAGATAACAAATTTGAACACATTCTAAAATTTTATGTTTTCACTCTCCCCCAACACTTTGTTCTTAATGTCACAATTTACATCTTTTTGTCTTGTACATCCCTTAAAAAAATCAATGCAATTATAGTTATTTTAATTACTTTTTAAAAGTCTTCATTATATCTTTAGAAATGATAAACCCACACCCTTATAATACTGGATTATTGTGAATTTTACCACACATTACTTTTCAGGGAGAGTTTCATGTGTTTTCCTGTTGCTAGTGACTGCCCTCTGCTTCAGCTTTAGGAAGTCCGTTTAACTTCTCTGGTAAAGCTAGTCTAGTGGTGACGGACTCCTTAGCCTTTGTCTGAACTGAATACAGTCTTATTTTATTTCACAGGAAATAAAAGCAAATGTTTAAATATGAATCTGAACTTCTTTTGCAAAATGAGACAAATGATAGGGTGAATAATGAAAGTTTTGAGTAAAATATATATATTAGAATAAAATTCTGTGAAAGAAGTGAAAAAGAAATGCAAAATCAAAGTGTAAATAATGAAAAGATTCCACTCAAGTAGTTTGTTCATAATTTTTCAAGAAATGAGTGGAATGGATAGCCTGTGCACATAAAAATTAAGTTTTATTTTTAAACTGATGAACACTTTTAACTCAAAAATAAAATTCACGATTTTTTCAAAATTACTTAAACAATATATACTGTTTCCCCCCCCAAAAAAACCCTCATTTTTTCCAATCTACAAAACAAGAAATTCTATATTTTCTTTTGTCTTACATCATTTTCCAAATAACCTAAAAGTTTTGATCCTCCTACTCTTCTACCTAATAGTTCTACATAGCTGAAAACTTGTGTTGGTTTTTTCTAATGGCTTATTTCTGTCTTCTCGTTCCCGCTCTCGCTGTTCAACAGTCATTATCTCACCTGAATCCTCGTTTAGTTTTCCAGTTACAAACCATACCATATACTGTTGCCAGAGGCAGGTTGTTATCCACCAACCCATAACTGATACATGTCATGACTGAAGAGTCTCAGACACTTGCTACTCATTTCCAACCTGCTCTTGAGACCACCCACTTCACATTTTGAAACTGACTCCCGATTCTCTCTCCTCATTAAAATGCCATCTCTGTCCTTTAGCCGTTATCTGTGCACTGTGCTTTGTTTTGTGCTTTCAAGTCAAATTTACTCCTATAGCTCTACCAGCTTCACACTATCACAGGCAGAACACTCTACTAGAATCTAAGTTCTACTTCAGAATCTACCCCACATCAAATCCCCTTCAGAAGAGACCCCATACAAAACCTTTGGAGTGACAAAGGGGGAAAATCTTTATAAATTCAGCTGCAATTGTGGTACCTCAGTGTCTTTCAGCAACAACTTATTCTCACACAAGTCAAGTCTAACGTCCTCTCCATTTAGTCAAATAGGGATATTTAGAGATAAATATCCCTAACCTGCTTCTTTTAGAAATTAATTTCAACTACACCCTTACATGTCTCCTAGGTTCTAGAAAAACAAAAATACTAATTATTCTCTGAATATACTTCACATTTTTTCTGTCTCTATGCCTTTGTGAAGTTCTTTCTAGCTACAATTACCCTGACTCCAACATTAATTTCCACTTTTATCCATTCTTTTAGAACCAGATCACATATTACCTCTACTTTAATTAGTTTCTGCAATCCTCTAAAGGGAATAAAAGCTCTCTTCTTGAAAGCCAAATAGTACAATCACTACATTATTCTCTAGCTCTCTCCCCCTGATTTTATTCCATACAAACACATACATGTACATTATATGTGCAGTCTCTTGAGTTTTTGCTTTAAACCTTCTTTTAGGCTGTGAGAGACCTCTGGAGAGGGAGTATGCCAGAATCACCCTCCTGTTCATCACAACACATAACAATTACTCAGTAAATATTTGTGTAACTATTAAATATATATCAATCACTGACTACTAAATCTCCAACTGATCTGGTTTATGAACTTCTTAACATAATTTTTATGAAAATCTTCATTAAACAGGAACTTAATAGCATGTTTATATGCATAATTCAGAATTTGAGAATAACTAAATTTAGTAAAATAAAGATAAGACTATTAACATATTTAGGATGAACATATTCAAGATGAGAGAAAATCAACAATTAGGCATCAGAAAATTTCTATAGCTTACGTACGTTATATGTTATGGCTAAAGGTCAAATTAATGACCAAAACCCAAATAACAATTTGTAAGTTAATGAAAACATTTTGTAAATTAATGAAGGGCCTTAATCTTATGTTAGGAAAGACTCCTGAAATTAGACCCCATACCTTGATTATTTTGTCTTTGAAAAGTAACTTGTGGCAAAATCCTCAAAAAGGATT